TTGTTACAGAAATGGGTATGAAAAATATATCTTCAGTTATTGATTGCATTAAAACAACTTTGTTCTGCCTGTCTACAGATGAAAGAAATAATACCAATGCAAAACTATTTTGTTGTTGTTTCTTTTTTTTAATTCATAGTCTTTAGAAATTAAATATTGTTTACTTTCTACTTTAGAAGAAGATTCAATACTTTAGATTTCCCTACTTTAGAAGAAAATTCAATAGCTTTAATTATAGCACAGCTAATTATTAAAATTTAAAAAAAATACAATACCTCTGGATTGCATTTAGTGCCGACAATGCACCAGTAATGGTAGGCTTGAAGACTGGTTTTGCAGGCATCTTGAAAAAAAAGAAAAAAAAAAAAAAAAAGAAAAAAAAAAGAATATTCAAATTTGCAAATTATGATGTGCACCTGAGGGGCATCTTCTTTACCAATAAGTGTTGGGTAATGGCCTTCTGCGACGGGCTCGCCCATGCGACTGGCAGGTAGCAATTGACGACCAGTGCTGCCTGGAGACGTTTCCAGGTGGTGTGCTGCTCCTCTGGAGGGGTAATAGTGGAGGTTGAACCTCCACAAAGTGCCCAAAGGGGGAGTGGACTCGTAATGTGATTGAGTTCACGAGGCGGGGCAGCCAAAATTATCTTACCAATAAGTGTGGATGAATGCATTGTTGATATTTATTATTATCTTGAAAAGAGTTCTGAAAGGAAGAAAAAATTAAACAATTCCAACAGCTGCATAATACTGATATAAGAAAAATTTTGAAAAATGTATGTACATCTTGATTATCTTTAGAGATGTTTATCTAGAATCCTTGGCCAATGGAACCCACTTCTTACATTTTTTAAGGAAGAAGTAAATGCTTTTAGAATTAAGATAAAAAGGCTCTACTGAAAGTTTTAAAATACTTAAAGTAAATTAAAATGTAGTTGTTATTTCTTATGTTAAAATTAATGGTAGAAAAATAAATTTCTACACCTGGGATTAGCAGTTCTCAAAATAATACTACAAAATATAAATGCAAAGCTGATACAAAATTCTTTGAAAATAAAAAAATTGCTTGACAAGTGAAACATTTCCCAATTACTGTTTGTTCTTGTGAAGAACAAATATATATGTTTTGGTTTTCAGACCTAAACAAAGCTTTTTCTTTTTCTTTTTTTTTCTTTTTCTTTTTTTTTTTTTTTCTCTCATGCTCCATTTCATCACCATTTGATATTCTTAACAGAATTCTATAAAATTCATGAATTCCATTAATTCATGTTTTACAATCAATGATTAGTGGTCTATTGAAAGACATTATAGCGAAGTTTTTAAAATCAACCTTTGTTTTGTCATCTAATTTTATATGCCATATGATATATGGTAAAATAGAAAATCAGAAGAAAGATATAGATTTGCTGCAACTAACAAAGTAAGCCAAAGAGAGGGAGCCAGGAAGCCAAATGTAAGTTTTAATTCCTTGTTAGAAGCTACTTCTGCTGAGTATATCTGCCAAGTATATGATTACCCAATACATAAATTTCTGACTAAAAATGAAGTGATTTTCTCAGCTAAAGTTGCAGATATTTCTGTTGTAGAAAACATATCTTTTTCTGATACAGTCAAAAGTCGTTAATTCGGACACCCATAATTCGGAATGATCTATAATCCGGACCTCAAAACTAAAAACTTTCTGCGCATGCGCCGCGTTGACACATGCGCATAGGCGTTTACGCGTGCGCGCAAGACCTTTTACGACTGCGCATATGAGTGTGCGCAAGTGCAGAATACGTTTTCGCGTGCGCGTTTTATGTATAATGGACGTATAAGCTAAAATTATCTAATTATCTATTTCAGTTAATGTTGATGATTGCGTGTTCCTTAATTTTCGAATTGGATCCGGCTTATTATTTTTTGCAGACTGTAAGAGCAATTTTATAAAAGTAAGCTTAAACTTTCGATTATATCAAATAGAATTTCCGATATATATTTGTTAATATGTAAAGGATCTAAAGCGAAAGTATGTTTTGAAATCCGAAATCTGTTTATCAATTTCACGCTGCTCGGTGGGGGGATCGCCGCGGCGGGCGCGTAATGAATTGGAAGTTGATCTGTCAGCACTATCCTTATCTTCAGCGCAGATGTTTTTATTTTATTTGGCTTATAATTCCTTACCAAATGTAGTATTTCATCTCGATATGCTCCGTCTTTGATATGATTTAAAACAAGTTCCTCGTCATTATAATTCGCTTTCGATAGCGAAGAAAGTGACAGAGGTTATTGAAAACGAAAAAATTTCGATTGACAAATTAGTCGGTGTTCTAGACACAGCAATTATAGGACTTGAACAGCGGAACTTTGTAACTGAACAAGAAATTATGTCTGTTTAATAGAATTAAAGAGAAAGTATTATCACATGAAACGAAGCAAAACTTAAACAACTTACATTGAAAGAAATGTTTAATATAAGTAAACAAATAAATATTAAGCTTTTTCTTTTTGTAAATTTTGATACCCTTTAGATCATAATTGTTCTTTATTTCATAAATTACGGTTTCATATTTTTAATTTTAGGATTTCTGCATGCCATCTTACGAGATTTAAACTGATGATCTATAATCCGGAATCGCCGAAGTCCCGACGAGTCCGGATTAACGACTTTTGACTGTATAAGTTATTTTTTGAAGAGATTTCCAGTTTTACTTATGGCATGTTTCTGCTTTGTTTAGTTCTGAAAGGCGATAATATTTCTATTAAAACGGTAAATTGCAGTTGCAGTTTTGCAATTTACAATTAGAAAACATGGATAAAATTGTAGTCATTAGGTTATATTGTTGATGGAAACTTAAGAAATCTGCAGTGCCCTTATCTAGATTCGAACTCCAGACCTTCTGAATACATGATGAGCATGCTTCCAGTTACACCACGAAGCCATGTGAAAAGGAGGGAGAAAATACATTATAAAGGTATAAAACCAGCAAGGATTGACACCTAATAGAGTTTAATTAGAAAACTGAAAGGTGTTTATGGAATTTTAAAGTACAGGGAACAGTTTAGAATAATGTTGGCCATTCTGATAATTCTCCATAGTAATGCAGAGTGTGAGAAGATTTCAGTATTGCCACTAAAACTAGGACTAAGTTTAGATCCTGTATTAGTAGTGACACATAAGTAAAAATTTTGTTAGAAAAAGCAGGCCTATGTTGCAATTGCTATGAACAAAATTGAGAAGTATCTTTCTTAATGAAAACAAAACATGCCATTTTTCTTTGCATTTGTAAAAATACTTATCAGAGTATTATTTTTCTAGCAAAAGGTATAAATAATAAAAATATTTTTACATGTAAATATTTTTGTACTATTTGCATTTAAGAATTAGTAATTAAACTTTCAGATATTAATTATTTAAAAATACTTTTTCTATATATTTTTATCAGTTAAAAAATCATTGCCATTGAGAAAATTCTCCCGATTTCTTAAAAAAAAGATATCTGATTTTTTAAGTGTTGTAGCTTGGTAAGTATGCTGTCTGATATTGGCTCCATCAGATATTGTTATGTTAATATTATTATGTATTCTTGTTGGAATGTAGGTTTCTTTTAAAGAAATAATATTGTAATATTAACCAGTTTCATAAAGATAAATATATAATATCCATGATTCTATTCTATATAATTATGTAAGATATTGAATTAAATACATGAAAGTTATAAATGCATCATTTATTTTGGACATAAAATTAAATTATTGCAATATATATATATATATATATATATATATATATATATTAAGTCAAACATTTTCCTGGTCTTTCATTTTGGTTCAGCAATTAAAATATTCCTGAATTTCATTTTTCGTGGCTGTAAACTGGCAATCATATCAATAACTTTGCCAATTGATATTTCTTTGGTATAATGAATATGCATCCAAAGAACTGCACTCTTCCATCATAGTAGCTCTATTTTAATTTCCTAACAAAGCACTTGCGGAACGTTCACATTCGTGAGATGTTAACGGCAGTGTAGCTGCTATGTGCAAAAGCACATCAATATTTGGGAAAAAGATTTTATTCGAAGCTTTTAAAGCCAAAACTGGTGTGTCTGGGAGCTTTGTCTTGGGAATAGACATAAAATGCCATCGCAAACGTTTCACCTCTTCATTTAGAAGTTCCAGAGATGGTAAATCGTCTTTGTATGTCACCTTCAACTCATTTACATGATCAGTCCAAACTGATGGTAGTATGCAAAACAGAGATGATTATTAAAAATTATTTAAACCTCTTTAATTGTAGTTGATCATTTGGATTTCTTTCTATAACTCTCTAAAAATTTTGAATAAAAAAATATATAAATTCTATAAAGATTTTGAATGCTAGTAAATAGTACAAATTTCAGTTCTCATGATCTTTCAGTTTTTGCATTTAATAATTTTGTAATTTTTGGGGGGTGGGGTGGGGTTAAATGGTGTAAAATATTACTTTCAGTATTTTCTTACTCTGGAGTTTTCTACCAAGAATTTCTCATTTTGCATGTAAAGAAGATAGGTAATTTGACTCTTACAAAAACTGAAGTCTGTTTTATGTTCAAATTTCATCCAATTTAAAATGATTTCTGTCAAATATTGTATTATTCTAAAATACCGTATTTAATCGAAAATAAGACCATCCCCTTTTTTTGCTATATTTTTGTTCTAAAATTTGACAGTCTGATTAATGAGTATTTTGATAATCAAATTTCCAGAATGAGAGAAGAGAGTTTAATTATATGATAATTGTGTAGAATAATTGCACTGTTTAACTATTCAATGTACTGTACAGTTATTTAAATGTATAAACTGTGTAGCTGCCACATCTAGCTGAGTGATTTCAATTTAGACCTGTATCCGCTACACTGGTTTGTAAATGAGTTCTGTCTTACATAAAGGAAATTCATTTTTGAATAATTATGGTACTTGTAATGTGCGAGGAATATTACCAAATTTTGGAAGCGTTAAATGTTTGTGTTTTTTATTATAGGGTTTATGTATAGCTGCTCCTGGACCTACTCTTTTAGATCTACAGCATATTGTCCACACCAAGACAAGTTACATAACCTATATTTATTTAGGGCGATCAGCTGGATATCTTTTTGGTTCATTAATTGGTAAGTAATCTGGTTGTGCTATCTTAAAATTAATCCCAGTTATATTAAGTGTCAGTATATAGAGAATATCTAAAAATTACTAATGCAGTTTCAACATTTAGTTAAAATTTATGGTCAGACACATGCAGTTGTTAAGTAGTATTATGTAGAATTTATTTTCTGTAATTTCTTTTATTAAATTAACAATATGTGAAATATGTTCATGATGAATGATTTGCATAGTATGTAGTTGAGATTCCAAACGTTGGCAGGTATATTGCTGCATAGCCATATCCATTTGTTGAGCAGCAGCTGGGATTTTAGCTTTTAAGTTATCAATGGTTGCAATCCACATATTTTACATGCAAGAGCTTTCTTGGATATCTGCAGAAAGAAATCATATAACCACATAATGTAAAGTCATAAGATTGAGCATGGTAGTGAGTTGCGTCTTCACTCCTCAAATCATTTCCAGACAATCTCATAGCTTTGTCTTCATATCTGACACTAAATGTCTCTAGAAAATTACCACATTCTATTGCTACACTCAGAAAATATTTCATATAGAAATAAATATGTGCAAACTTAAATGATAAAAACCCAACATAAAGTAGTGAATAAAATGTCATTAAAAAATTTTCATGTTGCATCATAACACAAAAACATAAAAGATTTTTAAGGGTTCTAAAGCTTAAAGTGCAATGTTTACTTAGAAGAGTTTTATGTACATTAACCTCTTAGCTGTCACACAATTTTGACAAAATTTATTCAAAACTCATTAAATTTTTTATAGATGTCCAAATCCAGTCCAAATTTTAAATGTGATTTTTTTCCACCTTCCTTTTTATAAATTTGAAAAGCATTGAAAACAGCTTGATCTAAAGGTTAAAGAATATTTTTTTATAATGTTTTTTCCTCACTGTTCTTGGCTACTTGGTAACTAGAAAGCTATTGATGATGATAACTTTTTTACTTCTTTATTGTCCTTCTATTTCAGGTTGAAGATTTTCCCACATCTAAATGATATAACTTTCTCGGATTTCAATTTTCTGTTTTTCAATGCCAAAGGGAAATCGTTTTTGTTTTGTCTAACAGTTTCAACCACATCTGTTTGATAAGTCAAAAAGATACCACATAATTCTGGTGAAGTATAGTAATTTTCTAAGGTGATTCAGAAGCCTTATTTGAATAATGGCATAACCACTTGTGAAGGTACTGATAGAGATCAAAATTTAGTATAAAATAAAGAACCTTTCCAGGTATATATAATGAATGATCATATATAACCAGTACTAGATTTGCTTAGTATATATCTTTCGATATCAAAGTTTGCTTTTTTCAAGGGTATATATTGGTGCCAGGATAAATGTCATTTGAAGAACATTAAAGTTTCATCTATGTATTATCTCTTTCAGGGGTAATTGTTGTTTGATATACTTCATTCAAATGCTCACATATAGGTCAATTTTTGTGGAGTTTTGTTAGGATGATTTTCTGGGTCGTGAGAATCATTGTTCACAAAGTACAAGTAATTTTTTATTTCATGGTATCATTTATATAACATAGTCTTACAGAGAAAAGGAGTTTCCACTGGTGTTTTCTTAGTCCAGTACATGCTTTCTTCAGGTTTTTTTTTTTTATTATATCCTGTAAAGTCAAAAGTGCAAGAAGCAAACATGTTTCATTTGACATAACAGGTTTTCATTCTCTGCCCTACAGTTTTCTTTTACCAACAGCATTACTTGATTACTGAGCATAACGATCAGTCTCTTTTACAATTATATAAACTATTTCATCATTTATAAAATGCTCATAATATTGTAAAACGTCGGAACTTCCTTGAAATGAAATATTAACTTTAGGCAATGATTTGATCTGAAAATGAGGAGGACAAATATGTGGGACATCTGGCAAAATTTTGTTCCATTGGCACCCTGGTAAAAGCTGTGTAGGATAGGCACTATTATCAATGTCTTCAAATTCCAATACTTCAGAGGCCCACCAGCGGCCGAGCGGTAAAGTCGCTGAACACTGGTAGTTCGGTCCGAGGTTCGAATCCCGCGAACAGGCTGGCTGCATGGGCGTTTTCGTGGTTTTCCCCATGTGTAACGTGTATACGAGACAGTTTCCCTTAGAAAGTCCTCCACGAAAGGCATCCCTCCTCTTAGGCAGATAGCCCTAGTGTGCTTTGCCATAATTAAATACACCACCACACCACCAATACTTCAGAAACAAAAGCATCTGGAAAAAAGCTGCTTTCTCAATCAATTCCCAATTCTTCAAGATTTAAATCCTCTTGTTCACTTGAAGTACTCTTTTTACAAATATTAAACATGGAAAAACTATGAAACTGAATCCTCTCAAACCATGTTCTAACTGAAAAGTTTCTCTAAATCTGCAAATTCCTGTTGTATAATCAAATTACAAGTACTATACTGCCATATGTGAATCTAATTTGTAAATAAAATTGATACATGCACAATAAAATTTGGAATTCACATGACTTTCTATTGCAAATGTTTTGCCTGTGTGAGATACGGACGCGAAAAAATTTATTAGAACTGGCTGCCCATATGAAAGACGGGCACAATAACTAAAGAGTTAAAGTGCCAGAAAATTTCATACACTATTTATATTTGGTAGATTACCATTTGCATGTGAGTGAAGGACTACAGAGACATGGATAGTACGAGCTACTGGAATATGCTATAGGCACTGCAGATCATTCTTCTTGCAGAGCATTTCAGAATTTGGTAGAATTCCAAGGATGGCAAATTTCCATATTCGGATGAATGCTCTTGTAACTCTAATGTGGTATCCTGGCACTTGCATGGAGGTCATTGTACATTTAGAACATGGTCAGTCCATAAGCATAAATGCTGGTCATGAACAGATATATCTTATTAGAAAGGATGTGCACATACTATTGGCCAGCTACAGATGTTTGTAGCTGTACCAGGCATCTCAGTGAATTCCAGGTAAACCAAACAGCCAGTAAATGTGCTGTTGACAGATGAGATCGATGGCTTCATGGGGTTTGCACCTCACATGAATCCTTTTATCTCTCTGATACAGTTAGTAATGTGACTTAGAAATACAGTAAGAAATGTGAATACAGTTAGAAATGTGTCTTATTTTCAGTCATCAATTGTTGCTATGCCCAAGCTACCTATGTAGCTCTGTGTGGTATAGTCATCAAGGAGATTTAAGTTAACCATTGACTCTTAAAATCTATATCCTACAATATATGTTGTGCAAGCAGTCCAGACACTGATACTTGTTGAGGCTCCACACTGAGTTCTGATATTATTTGCCAGAGTTTTGCATGCATATCATCTGAAACGATTCTTCGCAGCTGTCACAGTCATGTTCAGTCTTTTTATGGCCACATTGGTGTTGTAAATTGGAGGTTTTGCTAAAATTCTTGGACTAATGGTATGCAATAGTCATTTGAAAACTGGAGCTTCATTTCTCCAAAATGTTATGGCACTTCTCATGAGTACCAGCTATGACATTGCATTGAATAGCACTAAAATCATTATTACTTTTCATTTTCATGCCTTAAACATTTTGGATTACTGGCAGGAATGACTATAACTTTTTATACATGTTGACAAATGCAACAGAACATGTGCGTAAGTGACATTGCTATGCATTTTACATAAGCTTTTGTGTACCAGTTTTCTGACACTTCAGCATATGTACTAAAAATAGTAGTTATGAATTAAAAATGTAGAAATAAGTATTTTGCAGTTTTTAGATAAATATAGTAATGAAATGAATAATTGTTGATCAAAATAAACAGTAATATCTTCAATTCTTATGATCATAAGATGGGGATACATTGCTCTGATATATTAAGAATGTCTTGCAGAAGTTTCTAATATGTATATTTGTTAACATGTTTCAGACCATCATTTGTATTTTGAATGCTATTCAAAGTTTTTGCTGTGAAGAAATTTCTTCCCTTTGATTTGGATTAATTTAATCTAACAAATACAGATTCAATATTAGCATTTGCATGTAGCGAACATAGAGTTTTAAATTTCCAATATTCTGGTTTTTTTCAATAAAATGATCAGGTTAAATTTTACAAAATTGCTGAAATATGCAAAACAAAATGTGTTTTAACATAAAAGCAACAATATGAGAAAAGCTCTCCAAAATTGATTTAAACATGTATTTTAGGCTGGTATCGCACATCAATATGTTTTGGAAGAACAGCTGCTTTGAACAGTTTTTCTGCTTTGTCACATGATATACTACAGCCAGTCACCACAGATCACTTTGGGATTAACATGTAAAGGGCAAAAAGGTTCTCCATGGAAATGCACATACTACAATAAATAGCTATTTTCAGCATAGTTGGTGACATATTTAGAAAATAGACAGAGCAAAACATTTAACCATCAGTAACCATTCTCAGAGTGAGGTAAACACAGCCATCAAAAGCAATGTCCATTTCGAAAGAACATTTCATTTTAGGAGCTTCTATTTTTGCAGCTGCTTTCCTCATCAAGAAAAGCAGAAAGTCCAAAAGAAAAACATGGGCAAGACAGTGGCTGTTGAGATATAAAGCACTGGGCTGTTATGAAAATTTAATACATGAATTAGTATTAGAGGTAAGAGCCTTAATTTTTAAAAAAAAATTTTGAAGTCTAAAGATAAACGTATGTATATTCATTTTGTATGCATCCAGTGTTTTACAAAAAAATGTAGACACTTGATAATTCATAGAACTTACTTACTACTTTCCATAATGGTTATAAGAGACTTAATTTTTAGCACAGAATTCATTACAAATGACTGCAGATAGACATTTCAAGAGATTTTTAATTGATGTTAATTTTAATATTTTTAGTCCAAAGGGGCTTTGTCCCTGAAGGACTATTGCTTTCATTTTGTGATTTTGCGACGGAACCCAATAAACAGTGTAGCACTTTTCAAATTGTTGCCACCAAATACTATCGCCCTGTATTATATTTGAAGAAATTAAATAATGAAGAATCTGCATAAATGTATGTATGTTTCTCACATTGTGTTAAAACAGTGGTACCGAGAGCCATCCAATTTTGAATGACATAATCCTACTGTGAATATGGGCATCTGAAAGCCCAAATTTGAAATTTGGAGTTTGTTTTATTATCGATTTCATATTTTGTAAAACTTTAACGAATTTTTTATTAAGAAACTTGACGATTTAAAAGCGAGCAATGGCATCACTCTTTGGAGGGGGGAACCTTTTTATCTCCAGTACGTGGAACTGTGGATTGGAAATTCTAAAGATAAGCTTCTTTTAAAATTATAAAATCTGAAATTTTTCAGTTTTTTTGTTTTGTTTTGTGTTTTGTTGTTATTTTGTTTGTTTAAGCTTTAAGAGCATCCTTAGTACTACTCTGAGGTGTAAAATCATTTTGATCTGCAAAAAGTCTCCTTGGCACAGGTAGAAAATTCTGTTAACAAAATGTTTCCAAGCATTTATCTAGAGCAAGAAGTAAGCTTATACATCTAAGGTTATCTAAATAAAGAACACTACCCTCATTTCCTTTGGAAATAAGTATCACCTGGACATGTTTCCAAACACATGAAAAAATATCAGCATCTAGACAAACATTAAAAAGTTTGTGGAAAAGAGAAGGGAACATCAAGTAAAACTATTTAATAATCTCATTATGATACAGAATCAGGATCAGTTGCTGTATTTGATTCCAGCATAGAAGTAATTGTATTAACTTCATCACAGGCAAAAGTAGAATCAAGAAGAGAAAATAAGCAGTACATGCAGCCCAACGATACTCCTTATGCAAAAGATTATTATTTTCCTGTGGATCAGAAGGGAAGGAATTGTAAAGCACAAATTTATTGTATCATCTGGACAGTTTGCTGTGTCTCCTGTAGATAGATGAATACCAGTTATTTCAATTTTTTTCATGAATTGTCTTTTAACACTGTATAAGTAAATTGTTTTCCCACACATTGGGAACATTAGTAGTCGAAAGAAATGTTTTGCAAGTGTTAGATTCAGCATCAGTAAGCGTTTGATTACATGCCTTTGTACAAAGGTGTATCAGTACAGCAGTGACAAATTTCAGGAGAGATAGAGTACAACTAGATGATGGGAAATCACATAGGAATACATGGTTGGAAACACTTTCCTGTCATGGTAGTGACAATACAAAAGTCAAGAAAGAAAGGACACGTATAGGGTGAGAAAATGTGTTTATTATTCAGAACACAACAAAAAGAAAGAACAACATAAAGAGACAACAATCATCATCAAAGAAGGTGTTCGGAATACGACCAGGACAATGGTGCAGGAATTGTGCATCATGCATCTTCTATTTTGTGATGCAGATTTTCCATGCGCCAAAGAAGTGAGGGTTCATCATGGTCCGGGATCGTAATTTAAAACATCTTCTTTAATGATGATTGTTGTTTGTTTTTGTTCTTATTTGTAGGTTTCTCCTGCAATAAACATAATAAAATATGTTTTGTCTCACTGTTTGTGTCCTTTTTGCGTTTTGTGTTGTCACTACCATGCCAGGAAAGCATTGTGCTGGTACACCCTGTATATTCAACATATTTACATTTATACAATTGTCTGAAACAATGTTATGTGAAACAAATGGATGTGTGATATGGGCTTTTTTAAAATCCCATATATTTTGCTTAGTGAGCTTTAACACCATTGTTATATGAAAATAACTCATGAATAAGTTAGTGCTTCCAGCTAAAGGAATTAACCCGTAACTTGGGAGGTGCGATCTCAGATACCGCTACAGGTGTTGTTTCTATCACCCCTATTATATATTTATTCTGATTGAGTGGATTCTCCTGCTAGCTTCTCCTTTTGTGACCTTTATAATTTTTGCCTATTGGCTAACATTTTTGCACCCGCTTCATTGTGAAATTCTAATCCTTTTTCTGAGAGTGGTATGTCAGACCGCACCTCCCTCTCAGTGTTACGATTTCTGTTCCAGGTGGAAACATGGCTCTGAGACTCGATCCGAGAAATATTATATATCCTTCTTATTCATGTTTTACAGAATAGCTGCAAAGAATTCTTGATGAAGTAGGAAGTGAATTTAGCAATGAAGATGAATGCCACGAAGATTTTGCAAATGAAAGTTCACATTCCACGGCATCAGAATTTTCTGAATCTGACAATGAATGCACTGAACCAGAGACTGAAGCCATTTCATCTACAAATATTATTAAGGGAGAAATCAGTTCAAGTGGTCATGTATTGAACCTCAACGAGATGTGAGAACTTCAATCGCATAATATAGTTTATCTTCCAGGATTAAGAGCATATGGAAAATTGGGTGAAAATATGGATCCTAAAAGCATTTGGGAACTCCTTTTCACAAACGAAATATTAGAGAAAAAGAAAGAACTGAAAACTAAAACTTTGTATTTATGCCTAAATTGTAAAATGCCAGTTTGTATATTGCTCACAAGAATTATGTCACGAATGTACACAAGAATATGCTGAGTAAGTTGATATTTTTACAAGAACACACACAATTAACAAGATAGTTAAGGTACTGTCATTTTTTTATGTTTCGTACAATATTTATATTTTTCATCTGAATGTATCTATCATATGTTAAATTAGTGGAAAATAATTATTATTCATAAAAATAATAGTTAATTTGGTTTGTTTGGCATAATTTACATTTGCAAGTGGTTTTTCATAAAAAAGTTCATGTTGCAGAAAAGATGTTTTTTTATGCTGATTGATTTCTTTGTAAAATAAAAAAAAAAAAAAATTCTGGTTGAAGAAAAGTGTTCATAGAATGTATGGGTAAAATAAAATTTTAATATTTTGATTAGTACTTTTTATTTAAATTATAACGAGACGCTGTCTTTGTGAATGCTCGTCCCCGGTTATGTCCCAATATTTGACCTCCCTCTGTTACGGGTTAACGATTAGAGAATGTAAAGAACTGTATAGATGTTATTCACAAATGTAAGGTAATAAATGTAATATGGGCTAAATTTATCTCTTTTCTTTTCATTAAAAAATGCGATGTCTGAAAAATCCCCTTTTGTAAATTAATTGAGGTAAGTTAAGGTTAGTAATTAAGTCGAATAATTGAGGTAAATAAAAATGAGGTAAGTTGCATAATGAGCTGTACAGTGTGTTCTATTCAATTCCATTCCAGAGTGATTGTCTTATGCTGTGTGTGGTTACTGGAAACCATCATACATCAAATGGCTGTTAGTGATGCATTTAATGCTATGATGGCCACCAGAATGATTGCTTAATCTTCACATCTGTAGATATCTACTGCCTACCTGTTATGCAGTCTTCCATACGGGTTCATGTCTGCTAGTATTGTCCTATAGCTGTATCAATCTGACCCATATGCATCATGATATTTCGGTACAACCATTAAGCCTCATAATCTCTGGCAGTGCATTTTGTGTAATCCAATGCTTAGCTTTGTCCTTATTGGCTCCAAGTGCATATTATACATGCAAGTGTCCTGGTATTATGTGAATGTATGGTCTTATATGATATTGATTTTAAGTCTGAAAAATCTATCACTTGAGTCATATTTCCGGCCAAAAGTTATATTAAAAAAATATGGCTACATTTTCTCAGATTTCTTGGTAAGTGGCAGTGTTTGCCAATGAAATTAAAACTCTCATTTTTCTGTAAGCCTTTCTCTGGTACAAGTACGAATACGTAACACAAAGTTTTGATTGTAAAATTTGCCAACTTTTATTGCAGATACAGTAAAAAGTCGTTAATTCGGACACCCATAATCCGGACCTCAAAGCTACAAACTTTCTGCGCATGCGTAGCGTTCACGCATGCGTGTAAGACCTTTACGGCTGCGAATATGCGTGTGCGCATGCACAAAATATGTTTACACATGCACGTTTAATGTATAACGGATGGTATAAGCTAAGCTAAAATTTATCTAATTCAGTTAATGTTGCAGATTGCGTTGTTCCTTAATCTTCGAATTGGATCCGGCTTATTATTTTTTGCAGACTGTTAGAGCAATTTTATAAAAGTAAGCTTGAACTTTCGATTGTGTCAAATAGAATTTTCGATATATATTTATTAATATGTAAAGGATCTACCAAAGCGAAAGTATGTTTTGAAGTCCATTAAACAAAAGTGGAATTGCTGCAAAAAATGACCTAACCATTCCGAAATCTGTTTATCAATTTCACGCTGCTCTGTGGCGGGGGATGGGGGGAACGGCGCGCAATGAATTGGAAGTTGATCTGTCAGCACTATCCGTATCTTCAGGGCAGATATTTTCAACGCCACGGCACGCAATAAATTGGAAGTTGATCTGTCAGCACTATCCTTATCTTCAGGGCAAATGTTATCATTTTATTTGTCTTAATTCCTTACTAAATGTAGTATTTCATCTCTATGTATTCCATCTTTGATATGATTTAAATCAAATTCCTCGTCATTATAATTTGCTTCTGATAGTGAAGAAAGTAACAGAGAGGTTATTGAAAACGAAAAATTTCGATTGACAAGTTAGGCGGTATTCTCGACGCAGCAATTACAGGACTTGAACAGTGGAAGTTTGTAACTGAACAAGAAATTATGTCTGTTTATAGAATTAAAGAGAAAGTATTATCACATAAAACGAAGCAAACAACTTACATTGAAAGAAATGTTTAATAAAGTAAACAAATAAATATTAAGCTTTTTTTTTTTTTTTTTTGTAAATTTTGATACCCTTTAGATCATAATTGTTCTTTATTTCATAAATTACGGTTTCATATTTTAAATTTTATAATTTCTGCATGCCATCTTACCAGATTTAAACTGATGATCTATAATCCGGAATTGCTCAAGTCCCGCCGAGTCCGGATTAACGACTTTTGACTGTATTATGTTTTTAAAAGTCCCATAATTCTGTTCACATTCTTATAGTTTAGTTTTGTTTTTTGTATTTTATGAATATCTTTTATACATCAGCTTCATTTCCCATTATTCTCTTTAATTCATTAATCGTTTCCCATTATTCTCTTTGAATACCTCTGTAAAGTTTAAATTTAGATAAGTAAGATATTTTTCTGTTCACATTTTACTATGCCTGAGATGATTTCATGTACAAAGGTGTTGCAAAATGGTACAGAAAACCACCGTCGTTTTTCAGCTTCATGACTCAGTTCCTTATGAATTGATCAGAATTCAAATTGGTTACTGCCAGAAGCACCTTTCTTGTCTTACTAATTTTCAGTCTAGCAGGATGGTCTTGTAAATGCTACAGAACAGTATTTTTGTGGTGAACAGATCTTATTGTATGTAGGAAGTTTACAACTCACTATTTAACAAATCCGGGTTTGCTACAGGAAGTAATGAATGAAAGAGAAGTACTTTATGCATTTCCTGATCTCGTATGGTAGAGTAGTTGTTCCTTAGAGGTAAACTGATAGTAAAATGAACAGTTTATATTCAACACCACTTCCAAAACATTAACTTCTTTGACAAAAATGTTTTTAAGATAAAGAAAAATAAATTAGCTGAATCATTAAATTTTATTTATTAATCATAGATCTAAGAGTTGTAATGTTTATCAGGATAAGCTTAAAATCTATTGGAATATTTTACAAAAGTATTTATCCCATGTTGTATTTAAACAATTGTAAATATGTCTGGCTCTCATTTGCAATGTATTTCTATATTACAAATTATTTTTTTCAGGCGGGATAATAATAGATCAATGGAAAAAGGAAATTCCGGCTTTGCTGATTTTTAACTTAATTACAGCCATTGGTGTATTCTTCATTCCATGGAGTAGACAAGTAGAAGTACTGATCACAATTATGGCAATTAGTGGCTTATCCATGGGAGCCCTTGATACTGGTAAGCTGTTTCATAGTTCACATTTTAATGATAAATAACTATTGCTGTATTTGTTTTCTGAATTGTAAAAGCTGTCTTTAAGCATATGTAATGGTGTGTTTATATGAAGTTTGGAACTTTAGTTGCAACTGTGTATTCATGACATAACTAAGAAACTTTTATCATTCTTCAATATAATCACTAGCATTGTGTACTACCATTGTATTCCTATCAAGACTGTGGTCATAGTATGCTTATACCAGCACCTGTTCTGTTCATTGCTCATATGAAACAATATGTTAAGAATCCCTGGAATAGCATGGAAATGAATATATCAAAGTGATTCTTTCATTTTGATCTTAGAAATCAAATCATATTTTTAGGGACTTAAGTATAAAGAGTGTGGTGAACGGTAAAACATTTCTCAGCTCCACTGATTCAACATATAGTTAACCATAGGTTAAGTAATGTGCAATCTAGTAGTATTCTACAAAATGGTGGAATAGTTCTGTTGAAAGTATACCTGATTTTTTTTTTACATTTTTCTCAGTTTATGTTCCTGAAATGAGCTGTGATATCCCTCAGTAACATTCTTTAGGTTACAAAATGCATTTGGATAATGTTATTATAAATGTGCATGAAAATAAAATAAGCATAACTTTTACACTAATGGGGATGTGATGCTGACACATTGTGTCACCACAAATAGTCACCACTTATTTGATTAATGTTTCTATTGCATGAGAATCAGCATAGCCTTCACACTATTAAGGGGTGTTACAGACTTTTGATTTTTGTGGTGACCTATAGTGTCACAATTCATTTGATTAGTATTTTAATTTTGGTTTATATAATCTGGCTCGTGTATCATTAAATGCAGTGGTACAGTGTAAAAGAGCTTGTCCTTCACTTTCATAGTACTTCCAAGTGAGTTTGAGATGTGTTGTATTGTGGCCATCTCTGTTAAATGGTTTGGAATCAGTCATGATACAGTGTTTCACTTGCTCAAGCATTCCTTTAGACTGTGAAACATAGTCTTATGTGATAATCCTGTGTTTCAGGCTAATTCAAGAACCTACTGGTATCAGAAATATGCCAATTATCTGCCCTTCCATTTCATTATGACTATGATTACCTGATGGACGTCTACCATGCTTTGTTATCCCCTCATTGAAGATTTACTCACTGCCTGCTATTCTGTAGGGTCTCCTCCAGGGGTTGACTTAGGCGAATGCCTGGGAAGTACTGGTTAGGATCTGTACCTAGGCAGTCTCAACCATACAGGTATAAAAACAGACTTCACAGAAGGCTTGAGGGCTCGGCAGGGACTGTACTGGTACTGCCTTGGCTGCCCTTGCTCTGTGGGGTTGCAACATGGTAGATTGTTAAGAAATGCGGGACAGCACTCAATTGCGATAGGCAAGAACTAGGGCGGAAGCAGTTCTGTCATGCAGAGTTGTTCTGTAGGGTAACACGTTTCCTGCTTGCGTCGTGAAGACCTTGATGGTGCTGTAGGGCTGTGTGACCTCAGGTACATTCAATCTTTATTCAGCTCTGCTCTGCCTATTTCAAAAACATATTGGTTACACAACTTTAGACGATCAATTTCACATGACCAGTTCATCTCTATTCTTGTTACACTGCATACGCATAGTGTTATAAGGAACATAACATTCTATACTCCATTTACTGTAATGTAAGTTAAGTATTGAAGAAATATGTTGTGTAAACAAGAGTCACTAATCCTGTTTCATGCTGTTCATGTTTCCATTATTAAAATTCTAACCCATGTATAATCCAGTTGCTCTCCAAGCTTTAAATATAGCAATGAAGATAGCATTTTATAAAAGTATGCTTGTGTTTAAAGTAAAAATCTCTGCTAATAATATATTTAAGCATAAACATTCTTCATAATTTTGTATTCCATGCTAATTGAATTACATTCACAAAAGCACTGATTTCTAAAAACTCATAGGATAAAATGGAATGAATTTATTTAGGCTATTAAATAGCATGATTGTACATAAATACACACTGAAAAACCTTGTGATACTAATGAATTAAAAATGATTAATTACTAATGAATTAAATATGACATTAAAGATTTAGGGAAAGTGTAAATACCTAAAAAGATAATTGCTTTTTTTTTAGCATGAATATGCCATGGATTTACTGCTCACATATCACAATACGAAATTTCATGTTTTCATTAGGCATTAACACTTTTCCACCAATATATCTTCAAACCATTAGATCTCTAGGAAGAAAATTTACAACAACCTTTCTAGGGGGTGATCCATAAAATGATTATTAAATCCAATTCATTTGTTCTATACCTTCAGTTTCAAGAAATTCATCTACATTTTCTTTATGTGGCCAGTCATCACAATCTGTGAAAAGGAAGTCAGAATGACATCCTCTTCTGTAAAGGCTTATTTTGGGTTGCATGACTTTCTTGATATCTGTGGGCAGACACAGAAGAACTAGAAGAGTGTAATCCATTGATAATTTTTTTAAGTTTTTGCTGCTCTACAGGCTTAGAATTAGATGGTAAACTGAACCGTATTAAGGAAAAGAGACCCAGTTTAGTGATTAGGTAAGGTGCATTTTAGCAAGGTATTTTTGTAGGCTTCAGTTCTTATGTTCTCCGCATCAATTTATATGGGCCTTGTTTTGTTGTGAAGTCCATAGCACATAAACCATAGTCTTGCTGGCATGAATGCCTTCCTTCTTAAGTTATTTATTGATTAATTGTCTTTTATTAAGTCTGCTGTGATAAAAAATTATAGTGGTAGAAGAAAGCTATTAATTCAACTGCATGGTAGCGAAAACCCTATTGCGGATATGATAGATCTTGAGGATCATTTTTCTTTTGTAACCTTTTATCATATTTTTAGCAAGTTTCAGAATATTTAATTGCTTCCAAATTGCAGAGGCTATCAGTCTGAAAATAAGCAAACAGATATTCTAATACTTCCAAAATTTTCTGCTCTCCTTCTAAATAATTTGTCAGTAGTTATCCATCCCAAAGAATCTTAAATATTTCTTTGCCTTAAAAAATTGTTTAAACTATTTTAAGTACTAAGTGTAAGCCTTAAATTGTAGAAATTCATGGGAAAATTTGTTACGTGCTTGTCACAGCTTTGAATGATGATCTGCCATTATTTGCACTGAAATAGATTTATCAGACTTGATAATATTAATAGTAATAGGTTTGTCTTTTGCTCATTTCTTAGTGAAATAAATCCTATTAATTGATTACTTCATGAAGTATCATTTTTAGGTACGTAAAAGTAATTTTTGGCACTATGATATTTTATGATAGTTCTTTTTGCCAGGCTGTTCAAGAGTTTTGAAATTAAATATGTAAAACAATTATGTATATTTTTGTATTAATTAACATGTGGAATAAAATTTTTTACTTTATGGACAAGATTATTTGTTATACTTAGCTGTTCGGATATTTAATCTAATTTAAAATTCTTAACTTTTGATGGGTGACTTGTTTAAAGCAATGCTGATTTGAACATCTAGTTAATTTTTAATCAGCTAATGTTTATATATAATTTACTTCATTTATATATATTGTATTAGCAGTGTTGTTGGGGGCCATGTTTAGACGTAGAAAACGGGAGGTACTGGTATTTTTATTGCATCAGTTAATGAGAATGAAAAATAAGTAGTCTCAGTAGTAGTAAAGAAAATTACTTTTCATGCTTCTATTTATTGATCATCATATATGCAATATGTTTAACATTACCAATAATCATATGTTTAGCCGTTTGTCGTCAACCGTTCTTGAAAAATGTTATTGTATACTTCGTTACTTGTTTGCTTTGAACTACAATGTGACTTTAAATGATATTTTGTTGCTTTTTCTTTGTTACTTATAAACTGAATATGACTTTTCTGGAAGGCAACTGAAATTTGTATCTTCCTACTGTACTAATTTTCACAGCTTCCTTTAATAATTTTAATACATTATGCTCTGGATTTTCTTTTTTGTTTTCTTGTCGAATGGATCTTTTGTACCTTTAGTTTCCTACTAGTGTTTGAATGCTACGTCAGTAGCATTCAAACATATAGCTATGTTTATTATGTTTGTGTAGTTTCCACAAATCTGCTGTGTAAATACCATGCAAACATGTAACAATGTTTATTGTAAGTTATAAACTATATCGCACTAGCCACTCGAAGTCCAACCTACCTTGCAGACCAGAATGTTTTCTAACTCTTTAGTGACACTAATCAGTAGTCATCCTATTATATTAACACCAATAGTGATGTTATTTTGAGCACATTATATCCTACATCCATTAAGTTTATATTGCTACTTTTTAAGGAAAGGATAAAAACCTAATGTTTCTAGTTAAGGAAAATAGGTATATACTTTTTTTTCCATTTAGCTTGAGTATATGTTGCACTCGAATATATCTTCAATATTTTCAAACTAACTGTATAAATAATGTTAAAGCAGCTTATTTATTACATTTTGTTTTATATAAAACCTTTGGGATCTGGAATGTAACATTACCAAAGGTAATTTAAATTTTCCATGACAGAGACTTTGTATTATTAAAATTTGTTACAGCATTTGATATCCAGGTGGATTTAAAATTTCTGTTTCATTTCTTTCACTCTGTTTGGAAGTTTTATTTCCATCGCAGTTCTTGATTTGTTTGAATTTGAAATGCATTGTAATCTGATTATGTTTACAATTTACCAAACATTTGATTTGAGTATTGTATCTTTTGGAGCTATGTTCGATTTTAAGGAAACCAAGCTGCTTTTTTAATAGATTTTTTTCTTTTCTTCCGAATTATTATTATTTTTTTACCTTGTATTAATCTGCAAAAGAATGTGTTTAGTCCTGTCACCGAATATAATTTTTTTCTTCAGTCAAGCAGCTAAGAAATTCTGCTTATTTTTATGTGTTGTCATTCTGTTATTATCATGAATATTAATGAAATAGTTCCAATCCATTTAAAATAACCAATGGTTCTCTACATTCTATTTCTGTG